GGACAACAACAGCAGCCACAGCGACAGCCGGAAACACTATGGCAACAAACGATAATGACCGGTCAGATAAAACGTTAGTCGGGTCGAACAAATGCCTTTACCAAATCACGGACCGGATTATAATATAATAATATGGTGTAAGGCCGAGGCATGACGTCTCCCCTTTTCTAGCAAACAAACTGGACCCTTTACCGGACCAGACAAGTAATTGAAACCGAATTTCCCAGCAACTAGCAAGGCTACGCACCGTGTCGGTCGGGTTAACGCTTCTACAAAATGATTTCTAATACATTACTGTCATACTCAGACATCTATTTTAACACGCTTGTATTAGCTTCACTTGTATGTATGTTTGTATGTAACTATGTAACTAAAAGAGATAGGCAACCGAGCGTACATGCGTGTATTCATTGTTGTTTACCTGAAGTTTTCAAGTAATAGAGACACGTATGTACTAGAATTAAAAAAACACGATTTTAAAGCACATCGAACTAAAAAGTGGAAAATAAATATAGTTTAAAAAAACTAAAAAACACGCTTAAATAGTAAAATAAACTAAAAAGTAGAAAATAATTTTCAATATAGAAATCAATTAATAAAAAATAAATAGTATTATTGTGAAAAAAGCGTGGGGTGCTACATATATCAGTTCTTGAAAAGCGCCCCACACTTTTTTCACAATAATACTATTTATTTTTTATTAATTGATTTCTATATTGAAAATTATTTGCATTACTTACAGCTAGGGGCATTGACGGAGATCAAGGGGAGGGCTTGGGATTCTAAATACCTTAAAAATTAAAATTAGTGCTACATTTATTTTTATTTCAACAAATATCTCACTAAAAAATAATTGTAGGTATTTTGAAAAGCCCTATTTTTAAGTTTTGAGGTTTCCAGTATCTCAAGCTTCCTCCCTGATCTCCGCCAATGCTAAGTTAGATGAATTTGAAGTCCCCGACATTAAAGGATAAAACGCGCGCTTAGTAACGATTTAACCTATAAGTATATCGGACATTCGTTGTAACATCCAGACTTTAGATTTGATTACTCTACTTACTAAGACCGATCTATGAATAGAAGTGTAATAATTTAATTACAAGTTAAATTCAACACGTACACATGGTTCTTTATTAGAATGGAAAAGGACTGAGCACTGAATTAGTTGAACTCGAAAAAAGCCTCCTCCTTCACTTCCATTCGCCAATAAATTTTCTAGCATTGTTCTAAACAATAGAGATTATTATAAAAAAAATGTTTAAAAACTGCATGTCTGGGTATGATCACATTGCAGCCATTTATGTCCTACAGATTTTTATTGATGCAATAAATGGGATTTTTAAATACAAATTCTATTTTTTATTCGTATTACTAAATAATTTTTATACATAATTAGAAATTTTTTTTTGTAGAAAAGAAGGTGGGATTGTTACATTATCATGCAGTTGACGGCCAATCAACGGCTTAGAATAAACAATCTCGGCAAAATTCCTTTGTTCTTTTTCCACTTAAGTGATCTATTTTAAAACTGGTAGAAAACAACTGAGTAATGGTAAATTTAGTTTTAATTTTGCTTTGCTTTTATTAAATCGTCTAGCACAAAACAAAAGAAATAGGTACATTTTTTAACTTTTTCATCTTTTGGGGGTTTCTATGTTTTAAGAAGTAGTTTGAACATTTGTTTCCACGAAAATATCTTTTATAAAGAAACCTTAGCCAGAAAGTTACATCTCGTTTTTATTTCATGTGAAATGTTCCTTAAATTTATTTTGTTTAAAGATGTTACGTTGTTGTGCCTTTCTGACAATTTAAAATTATACTTCTTTTAGATGTTTGACTTCCATTTGTTCGTAAAATATACTACACTTACGTATCTCAATGATACTCGCATATATTCATATTTACTTGTTTCTCAAAGTTTCAGAAGTCTTGCATCTTCCAATATGGAAATTTGGCCAGAATATCCGTAAGATATTTATATTTAAATATAAGATAGAAATATTCTGTAAACACCACAAAAGACTTAATACATTTATCAAACAGCAAATCGATCTACTTTTAAATTTAATTTGACCTTTTCATAAGTCCAAAAAGTACGCCGAAAAAAGACGACTCATTTCTATGGAAAAAATGTTTTAAAATATGTTTGTATTTTTTTACTCTATACGCTAATAGTGCTAATAGTGTTTTCTATATCTATAGAAATACCCCAAACTAATTTGGAACTTTTTTGAAAAGTTGTGCTTGTCTTATTTTTAAATTAGAAAATATGTCAATTTCAAAAGAGGTTTTCTTGATATTGAATATTATAAACTTATTTACCTTCTGATTACAAAAAATGTCTTCAGCAAAAAAATCAGCCCGGCGACTAAAGGTATCATGCGTCCAGACACTAAATAATATATATTGTTGTAAAATCAACACAGTCTCAGTTGTCTATCGGAACTTTTTTTTTTCCAAAGTATGATTTACAATTTCTATCTAATTAATATAATAAGCAAAAGTATTATAATAAAATATATTTACACGTGAATATGTAGACCAAAGACGCGACCCATTGATGGCACTTCTTGGCGGCACATTGATGATTGATGATGGTAATTACTTTAGGTATTATTTTAGTACATTTGATAATGATGTTTCATGTTTAGTTCAGAAACTGGCCAAGTGTTAAGCAATACAAATAACAGAGCAGTGTTGCTCATGAAAGTAGGAGTGAAGTGTGGTTATGAACTAAAGAAATAGCATACTTGGCCACAATGTAGATATCACTACTTTGATAGGCTGACATTTTTGGGAGGGGGTCTGGCCTTTTTTCACTGTTAGGTTTTTGTTGGGGACATCAATCCTCCCATTTTAAAACGGCTAAATATTAAGGCTTTAATTTTAGACAGTGTCCTAAACTATTTAAGTTTAATTTAGGTTTCAAATTTTAAAAACCCATCTTAAGAAGTAGCAGAGATATGAGAGTTAAAAATACCGGGTGAATTGGTTCGTGTAAAGATACACTGGCATTGCGAGAACTTGGCCGGCGCACTGAAAGGCAATGTTTAAAAAAATAGGATATATAAGTATTTATATTTCATAATACCTTTAGCATGCAAATTTTGAAGTTTATAAGAGTGTTTAAATTTTTTCAGGTGGGTCCATGACAAACAACGATCTAGTACAAACCATGTTAACTAAAAACAAACCTTTTTCGACGATAATTTTTTTCCAAAAACGTGTAAGAATTTAAACTCATGACTGCGTAAAATTGTTTGGAATTGACGGTATATATTATTATTTAGTGTTATTGTGAAAAAGATAAAATAATAATAATAAAATACATTTAACGATTACCGGTAAAGGTCTACTTGTCTACGCTTTAGATATTAGTATAACAAATATATGTGCATATATATTATATATATAATATTATAAAGAAATAATAATTTACAACGATATTACGGGCTGTTATAGTTTTATATTGTGTTCTACGAAGAAAAAAGATGTTCTCGATAAAACTACACGTTATTGCCGTGTCTTCCATGAAGTCGACTCGACGAAACTTTTCTAAACTCGAGGGCTGTGGGCCCACCACCGTTTATTGGCAAAATATATTATCATAATGTTGTCTGCAAACGGCGAGTGTCGCCCTTCTACCACCCAAACAATAACACATCCGAACTCTTACATAATACACACGAGTACACTCGACTTGGAATTTATTGCTCGGCCATAGTGGCCGACGGTTTCTAAGACTGCGCTCTTCGCTCAAGACGACTCGGTGGCGGTGGCTTGTTTAACGCTGCAAATAAAATGAAATCGCCTAATGTTTCCCCACTATCTCGTCTCTTTTTTACTACACCTCGGTGAATTGTATTCATGCACAGATAACACCATCGCCGACTTCGCCACCACCGACTCCATCGCCTGCACCGTTGTTAATGTTATTATTTCCCCTATCATTATAACTGTTGCGTAATAACGTTGTCGCAGTGAAACGAAAAGGGCTATTCGACGCTTGTACGTTCAGATTGTACAGCCACATTACCGAGGAATATCCGTTTTGATAGTTAGCTTACAAATATCGTCAGTGAATCGTATTGAGTATGACTTCACTGCGTGCCAATGTGTCTAAACACATTATACGGTATGTATTCTGCAGTTTGATTTCTCTAATAGAAATGTTTATCGCGTCCTGTTTGTAGGTAAATATTCAACCTCCAGCATCTAATTAAATATTAGAACTTTGTCTCGTTGTCAACATAAATGGAATTCATATACGTAATGTAGACACTGAACAGTAAAGAGTGAGCATTTCAATTATGCATTTTCTCCAAAACTTAATGCCGATTTTGTGAAATCAAGATTAATGATTAGTTGTAATTTAACTTTAAACGTACCTAACTGATCATTTATTACACTTATTACACTATTATTTTATTTGTTTCTGCATATCCGTTATTTAATTCATAAGGTTACCATTAGATTAGAATTAATTGAAGTCACCCTCATAGTATAAAACGCCGAATGTTAGTAATTTTCGTATGATTTTTTTTATCAACTCGTTTATGATCAATTTAAATTTAATGTATTTTATGAATGAGAATAAACTATTGAAAATTACATACATTGTCTAACTGGCTATTAGTTAGAGTAGAAATGTTCACTGAAGAGGACTGCCTAGATATCCCAAGAGAATTGTCGAAGCTGCGATATTTTCAAAATTATATGTACCCATAATTTTCCTTTATTTTTTTAGTTAATAAACACAAAGAGGGTTTGAGAGCCAAAGTGTTTGAAATCAAAATTACTTAAATACAGTAAATTTTCCTGTTTCGAGATCAATAACCAATTAGCTCGAAACCGAGAAGATTTTTTCCACTTATATAATTATATTTCGGAAGTAACCAGGTGGAACTAATTACTCGAAATGGTTTTAATATTTCCTCTGACTTTACAAGGAAATTACTTATATCTAATGAGTTTAAAATTAGTGCAAGACCGTCGCCAGCAGTTAGCATTCACAAGACACATGCTAAGATTTATGTGCTCCCTAAATGCGTTTTACAAAGTATTTAAAAAGAATATAGCAATTAACACTGTTTCCATTCTTCTTACAACTTAACGTTACACGTTTCATATTAACAATATTATTTTTGGTTTTTCGCTTAAGTGTTGTAATTTGTTGTTGCTATTACTTTTACATTACTATTGTTTCTAACGTATATTTTAGTCTACTAAAGTATTTCGAGACAAACAAGCTAATTGAACATATATTTCATACACGATATAGTTCGGACAAACATTGATATAGTAAGATCTAAGGAACCCCAAGCTGAACCTTTGGTTTTAAATATATTAATATTCATATTTAGATTGTTAGACGTTTCTGGACATTTTCTCTTTAAATATTCGATCGTGTGACTAATAATTCCAATTGGATCCGGTTCTTCGTAAAAGTTACTGATTTTGAAAATAAAATTTTGATATAAAGTAATTATAATAGACATTGGCTCTTCTTTCACACTAATTTTTATACCCCGTTGCTGAAACAACGATAAAAAAAGTATTTGCATTTTATTCAAGTATTCGAAGAGTGATTCTATCATACGATCAATCCGTTTTTTATTATGTTTGTCTGTAGGTAGATCAATTGAGCCATTACGAACACTATTTGCCAAATCATCCAAAGCCATTGTAATAAAATTTAATAAACGCAGAGCGTGATCGGCTACTGTTAGAATTGCGCCTTCGACAATCTGGCTGTTAAATTCCAACAGTACATTTACATCGGATTCAGATCTAATTGAGTTGTACCAATCTGTTGGCAACGCCGAAACGCCGAGTGCCTGATAAAAAAAAACAATTAAATTAGTATACAATTGTATTCTGCCTTTAGCCTAAATAAAACATTTTAAAACTATAGACAGAAAGAAAGTGAAATATTTCTACAAATTATTTGATGTCAGTATTATTATATATAAGTATATTTAAATTTACTAATGAGAAACTTTCACCAAAAAACTGTTATATTTTCAAAGTAATTCTTAAATATGTTCATTATTAACTTGAAAAACTATTCTCAACTTGTAATATTCTTTTGAGCTTAAAACTTGTTGTAATTTTTTTATGAATAATGTAAAAAAACCATTAACAATAATTACTTGTTTCCGCTTTTCAGTAGCATACTTAATGACGGTGGGGTCAAAAGTTGGATCTCCATTTTTTCCGTACATTAAGTTTTTCCACTTCAAATATTTAGGGTGAAACCAAGATTGTGATATGATACAAAACGGAGATGATATATCGTCTATGATTTGTCGGCTTTTTGTTATACATCTTTTGATACTGTTGTAATTGCCAATCTCCAGAACTCGTTGGGATTTCTTAGTATTCCTTTCAAGAAATTGCAGCAGCTTTTCATTGTTGTACGGCTTATCGACGGATGAAATAAAAACGTTTTGCAAGTCGCTAAATAACAAATACAAGTTGAACAATGGTTCTTCATACGCGTTGGTTCTGTACAAAAAAGTTGTAGCACAGTAACCTTTGGAATTTTTTAGCGATAAAAAATTCACAAAATCGACCGTTTCCAATGCTCGGCCTTCACTCGCACTTGCTTTGATTAGCTCAAAAGCTAAATCAGTGTACTCATTCAATGCATCTTTTAAGTTGATGTACACCTCATTCCCAACTTGGCGCAGTAATTCATCTGCAGCCTTATTTAGAGTAAGGATACAGTTCGAACAATTTCCGTCATATGTCTCCCGGAAGATTTCAGTTGGGTTCACATTTTTTTTTTCAATCAAAGTTGGTATTAAACTGTTTAATTTAACACTTTCCTGCAAAGGACGACTTTCTATGCCCTGGAAGATGTTGTTTTCGTCTGATTTTACTAGTAGTGTCGAAAAGGTCACAAAGACAACGTCAATAATGGTTTTTTGATATTTCAAAAAACCCATAATAGAAAAAAAGCCACTCACGAAAAAAATGTATTTCATGTAAATTAGTAATTTTTATTTTTTGTCGAATAGCGATGTATGATGTTCGCTTCCGATTGTCTGAAACAATAATAAGCTTTGTGGTTTCGTAATTTTGAAAAAAATATGTATTTTATTTAAATAAAATGTGTATTATTCTTTATCAATAATGTTGTGTGTCGGTCTACAAACTTGACTTATAACACATTCGAATGTGTGCTTTTGTTTGCTGTCATTATTTACATATTGACATATTCATTATTTGTTTAGCATCTCAAAGACATAAAACGTGTTGCTTCTTTTTTTTTTTTTAAATCCGGTAAGAATGTAATAAAATAGTGTTATGAAATAAAGTCTAATTCATTAAAACTTGTGTTTTTAACTATTGGTTTTTGGTACCGTTTTTTTTATAACCGGTTTAGAGAAAAATGTGTTTTGGTTTTTCATAATAAACCACGTCTTAAAAGATAGATTAGGGTTGTGTTCAGAAAAGGTGGCAAAATCAGTTTCGGTAAAGTTACTTAGAAATACTTTACACAATAATCATAATCTTTACTATTGATTACAATATTATTTCTAAAAACACAGAAACGTTGTGGGATAAATTTAAGAGAGGATTGTCGTCTCAAAATCAACGTTAATAAAATATTTAATGTAATATATTTTACCCGAAAATGTTGTCTAATTATTTAACTGGATTATTTTAAAGATAATCCTTTACCAAGAATAAGTTGTACTACTTTTTTTTTACCTCAGTCTCATTCGCAGAAGACACATTATAAGCAAAGATATTCAAGACGGGTTTAACTCTAGTTAATTTAATATTTATTAGTTAATAATATACGAGTACATTACAATTAGATTTGCAACTAGTCAAAATGATTTAAAAAATAATATATATTTTAATGAATAGTTTTTATTTGAAATAAGTTTATAATAAGCATATTGTTATTCGATTAATAGAGGAATTTTTATCATTGCCTTGCGATTTTTTATCTTTGAAAAAGCTTTTTCATTGTTTAAAAAAAAACAATGTATAATACAGTTTATTTAGTTGTGTCATTATAAGCTATATATTTATGTGCGTCACTTGTATGTTTGTAATAAGACAACCGTAAAATAATATTTGTACAAGACTTATTTACACGTGTCCTATTTTTTATGTATTTTTTTAGACTCTACAGTATACTTTATCAAGACGTTGAAAATTGTTCACTGGTATGTTCCAATAGCTCACAAACAATATAATATTATATAATACATATATACCTTAATTTATTAGTTTTTTTATACGAGTATTTATTTAGGTAATAAATATCACACATTAGTTAACAAATAAATATAACTAATAGCATAAAACTAATTAACACAGTTATTATGAAATTTACACTTGCATAATCGTAATACCTCAAAAAGGTATAAATGAATGTATGATAACTTTAAAATTTGTATAATATTCGTGTTGATTTTCACAATAAAATTGAGACTATACACGAGGGACTAAGTAAATTTATATTGAGAAGTTACTTGAAGTTTTTAAGTTTTGTTTAGAGGCTAAAAATATATTTTAGACACATACAAAACATTGTTAATATTATATAGTATAAATAATAATTAGTCAAAAAACAATGTGAACTCATATATCTTAAAATATAGAACATACTTTTTCTAAATTAAACTCAACTCTATTTTGATAAGATAATGGAGTAGCTAAAATGAACATGTTAAATTGTTCACTTAATTAGTAACAGTGCAAATAGTGAAAATAATTAAATATTTAATTTAATTAAAAAGGTCCATTTTGAAGTTCTACCGGCCGTTTAACAGGGTAAGAGATAATAAGCGTATACTTAAAAATAACACAAAGGACAATAATTAATATGTACAAATTGAGTACACTTCATGGCATAATTAGTTATTAACAGGACCTTAATAGTATTGCTATTGAAATTATTAGAAAAATGTCTTTGATTATTTGTTTGATTTTAAATATCAGTGACATAAATTACATACTAGTTTGCAAAATTAATTTTAATAATACTTATAAAAAAAAGTATCTGTCTATCCATGCTCAATAGAATGACGATTTAAGAGTTATTCAAATTTACATACGTTTTGGAAAATAAATTTTATGTTTAACCTTGTATATGCATCGTAATCTACGAAATTACGGTAAACAAATTTGATATTTCATTCCGTAAGTGGTGAATTCATTGAAACTTACCTGAAAACAAGGTAAATAGTATTACAGCAAAAATGCATGTCGTTGAAACGAAAATTATATGAGCGAATATGTTTTACTTCTAAATAAATCTTTTGTTAGGCCATAATTATTAATAAGAATTCGAAAATACAGTTTTTCACAAAAAAACTTTATTTTAGTCATTTAAAAATCGAAAAGTTACTGTAATATAAATTTGTATATTTGTAAAATGTGCTAATAGAAAATTAGAAAAAAACAATTTATCTTTGCTTTTGGTTTCTGGATTTTCGGATTTTTACAAATTAGAAAGCAACTTTTCTTTTTTGTTTTGTGTTTTTTAAATGGTTAAAATAACCATTGTTTTTTTGAGACAATCTAAATTTTCCCATCACTTAGTCATAACCAGTGAAAGGGCAATTTTAGCAAAGTTTAAGTTTAATTCTTAGATCAGATTTTTTTTTTTAATTCAAAACATTAAAAGTTTAATTTTTTCCACAAATTTATCATTACTTTTCATGACCGTCCACTAATAACATTTTTCTTTAATAACAATTGATATTTTGAAATTTCAACTATTTCCTCTGGTGTTAAGTCGTAACAAATAAATTTTCTAACATCAGAAAAAATTAAATAGGAGACAAACCAAAAAGTATTTGAGGTTTATTGTGTGGAAGAATTAGAAACTGTGTTAGGATATGTTAAAATATTTCAATAGCACTCGATTAGTTAAAATAATTATCAGCAAATTATTCGAATAACTCAAGTTCAAATAGTATACTCTAATTACCATGACTGCGTTAAATAAATACAAAATACATTCTCAGCTTTGCAATGAATATCTTAAATAAATATTCCTAAAATGTTCCACTTGTTATAAGGACTTTTTGGTATTTTATTTTAGATTTATGTGACCCAATAGCATGTCATAAAAATTGTGTTTTATAATCGTTTAGTAAAAAAAAAAAATATGATAACCGATCACATTGTGTATTGTCTTTATTTAAATTAACAAAATAACCATATAATCTAATTTAACTTTTTCTATAGTTAACAGGTGTTTATTTTTGATATTATACAAACATTTGTCACGTAAATTATATTGAAATTATTTTCAATGTGTATGCAATGATACATATAAGTAATGTTAGAACTATAGTTAATCCAAAATATGTTTAATACACAGCACATGTTTAATTGACTCTGTTCTTATAAAAGCTAAACGATTGAGCAAATCGATATCAACAATTTGATGACGTCTAATTTTAATATCAAGTTTTGAAGCTACGGTCGGTATGGTTTTTCTTAAGTAATTGCTCGTATTGCTAATTGTTTCTATTTGTTTTCCACTAATATTGCTGATTTTATTGAGCGTGTATTTATAAATCTTAGTTATATCCACCAATGGATCGTCTTCCAAGCTGACATGAATACCGCGTCGTTGCAAAAATAATTCCAATAACGTTTGAACAGCTATCAAAAATTCAGAGACCGAGTTCTTTGCATCGTCAACAATTTGATTTTGCGTGTCTTTGGAGAGATTATTTGAATGTGTACGCGAAATATTTACTAAATCGTCGAAAGTATATAAAATATAATCTAATAAATGCAGGGCTTTATCAGCGATTGTTAGAAGAGCACCTTTGACAATCAGGCTGTTGAATTCCAATAATAATACAAATTCATTTTCAGATCTAATCGATTTGTACCAATTTTCTGAAATCTTCGATTTTCCCAGCTCCTATTAAAAAAAACATTTATGTAATGTAGTTTATTATAACTTTTCCCAAAATGTTATATACTTTTTTACTATAATTACGATTTACTAGCAGACATAAAATAAACATTACTTTTTCGCGTATTTTAGTCGCATATTTAACAACAACTGAATCTAAGTTTGCCCATTTGTTTTCTTGGTACATCAACTTCTTCCATTTCAAATTTTCAGGGTGAAACCAACAGTTGGATATTTCACAAACTGAAGACGATAAACCGTTGATATTTCTTCGGCAATTAATTAAACTTGTTACTAAATCATCGTAACTGCCAAGTTCTGTAGTTGGCCTGGACTTTTTCGTTTTCATTTCAAGTAATCGTAACAGATTTTCATTGTTGTATGGCTTGTCAAAGGATGAAATGAATACGTTTTGTAAATCGCTAAATAACAAATACAAGTTAAACAACGGTTTATTATACTTGTTACTTCTGTACAAAAACTCTAAAGCACAGTGTCCATTGGCATTTTTCAGCGATAAAAATTTCACAAAATCGCCCGTCTCCAATTGTCGGTATTCAATCTCACTCACTTTGATTAGTTTAAAAGCCAAATTCGTGTACTCTTGCATTGCGTCGACAAAATGCGTGTACATGCCGTTAGCAGTTTGGAGCAGTAATTCATCTGTAGCTTTTTCGAGATTATGTGAACACTTCAAAAGATTTGTTTTGCACAGTTTCTGAAACACTGGACGTCGGTTAATATTCTTCGTTTTAATCGATGTGGGTATCAAATTTTCCAATACGATTTTTTCCTGAAAAGGGCGCCTTTCTATACCCTGAAACATGTTGTGTTCACTTGCTGTCACTGTCAGTGACAATGACATAATTATTAAGACAACGTGCATTGTTATTCAAAAATGTATAACCGATAAAAACATTAACTGTGATCCCGTACCTATACGTTTTTTTAGTAAACCAGATAATTGTGTACCCATTGTTGGCCTACTTTTTATCAAATTAAAAACCTTTAAAAGTGTTTTTATTGAAATAAAATATGTGTACTAACTTTTGTCAACAACCTCGTGCGTCAGTTGTGTGTGTTTTTGTTTGTAGATCCTACATATTTACACGTTGTATGTTAGAAATCAAACAAACGAACAATATGAAACTAAAAAATATTTTGTTATCATTAAAAAATAATAAAACAGTTTATATAAATTATCCATAGTGAAATAATTAATTACAATTTACTCAGTTTTTCTAAACACAGTTGAATTGGTATTGGTAATCTTCCAGTATACAAAATTGCACTGTATTAAGATGTTTCTTTACCTCATGCGATTTTTCTGTGTGATGTTTTTTGTTATTTGTACAACTGTCAAAGAAACCATAAGTTGTTTATTTGCATGTACAATATGCGTTATGTTCAAACCAAAGGAAACGGAAAGAGTCAAATATAATACAAAAACCGACTATAATGCGAAGTCAAATCCCAACATATTTACCGAACCCATTTCAAAAAAAAATTATTTTGCTATGAAGCTTAATATAGTATGTAGGCCAAATATGTAGGATACATTTTTGTTATCTAAACCAAAATTCGGTCTTTTATTTCCTATTGAGAAAATAGTAATATTTTCATTAAAAAAAATGGAATCCGATCAATACATGTGCCAGAAAGTGAATTCTACGAAGTCCATTTTTCATCAAACTCAGAAAAATTTTTTTTAAGTTTTGTACCTAAAAAAACTTAATTTTTATTTACCAATAAAGCTTGCACACTGAGCTCAGGGCATAATTAAGACGGCGCATATGGGATCGGGGAGTCACAGAAATAGTTATAATAACTAAAAGTAATTAAATCACTTTTTAAATATTTGGTAATTCCGTCATATCTCGACAAAAAATTTTGTAATTTGGTTTAAAAATGAAAATAGCTTTTTTACAATCAACTGTTAACCGTTCGCACTTTATTTATTCAGAGATCTAGGCTTTTTTTTTTTGCTGTACTACAATTATTTCCTCGATAAATAAACCAAACTTAAAACGCTCCTAGAAGTTCAGAGATTATTTTAGTTTTTATTTTATTAAAATCTGTTCAGGAGTTTAAGCGGAAAATGGAAACAAACAAATACATACATACATGATACATTACACTTAAATGTAAATCCGATTCGAATGAGAGAGGAAAACAAAAAAAAAAACAATTTTATCTTAGTTAATAATCGGTGTAGAAATAAAATGAAGTAGTCTTTTAACCATTTGTTAATTTTTGCGTTTATGACATACCTAGGCAAATTATACATTTTTTAATTTTTACATTTAACTTTGTTACTTATTAAAACTTTGAAATGGATGGTGAAATATACCTGTACATACAATGTTTTTGGTAACTTAAAACACATATAACTTACGTATAAACTTACCATGCACTTAATGTTAGAATATGTTATAAATTGACCATCAACAGTTCTGTTTATTCAAACTTGGCTATCCTCTGTGGACCTAATCTAACGTAACCGTCATCTTAAGCAAAGCAAATTATAAATCTATGTATACTGTAGTTGGTATTTAATTATTTAAGTTTAATTTGGATCGTTGTCACGCCGTTTGAAGGGTAAGTGAAGATTGAATTCTACTCAAACTCAGAATTGTACAAATGTTCAATAATAACTTTATGTTAATGATAATTAGACCACGTTTTCATATACAATTGCATGTATTTTGTGGGTCCCCCTATCAAAGAATGTTCCATACCAAAATCCGTTTCAGAACTTTTTATACCATATAAACACTACTTGTTTGTGCATATTTTGCATATTTAATAAAATAATCATTATTAAATTGTTGCCTATCAAATAATAATATTAATTTAATAATATATTATGCAATAAAAGATATTAAACGTCATTTTTTGAGAATTTTTTTCCAATAATTATTTTAGTTTTTAAATTTTTTCTTGTTATAATTTATAAAAATGTAATAATATTCAAAGCTTAAAATATAATAACAAATTAGGTGACCTAAACATTTTTAAGAGTAAATGTATCTATATTAACGCCAATTCATTGTTTACATTTTGGCAATTCCCTTTGTTACGTAGGCCAGCAACGAAACAAGTCTGTACTAATACCCACAAGAATACAAGTAAGTGAAAATTAAGAGAAAGACAGAAACAGTATCGAGTTTAGACTTGCAGTTAACAGTGATGAGTAACATTTTTCTAAACTTATGATAGTAATGAGTCATCATAAGTTTAGAAAAATGTATTAGATTAGTACATTGTCGACCATGAATTAAAATAATTAAACGCAATTGCCTTTGTCTGCATTTTACTTAGTACAATATATATTGAGAACTTATAATTTTTTATTCACATCCATTTTAAGACATTTAATTTATCTGCAAATAATATAACAATAGTTACAACAAAAAGTAAAAACTTGAACTTGAAAAATGAATTTCCAGGTCTCCAGGATTACTTTAAACATTTTCCCCAAATTCGGCACACAAAGAAACATAGAAAACCACTCTCAAATTCTGTTTTTCTGAAAATGACATTAAAGCCCTTTTGCCACTCACTTGCCGCCTAGAAACCCAGTCAGGGCATGCTATTGTTTTATAAGATCCTTCCTTATTTATTGTTTAGATAACTTATTTTCATATCCTATACGCGTAATTATATCTATTTTTAGAAATATACTAACTGCATATGCAACTTGCATATTTGATTTGCATGTTAAGTGCATAAAAGATGCAAGTTTCGATATGCAAGGGTTCATTCGATTTCTTAATTTTTTTAAGTATTACTGTACGATTTGTTTGTTAAAAATAACGCATATTTCAATGTGCATAAAATCCGCGGTCTAATGATAATCTGAAGTATTTTTCACGTTTCTTCTTGAATATAAATAAAAAATCTGTAACTATACGTCTTGTGATCTACTGTATCCGCTCGTGTGCTGGTTGCGTTACGGCAACAAACTAATAGCCCATAGTGTAACACTGGGACATTAAAATGACAGTAAATCGAGGGAACCGAAAAGTATCGTTAAACCCTCGAAGCAATTAGGCGCCTCAAACTTGAATGCCTATAAAACTCTTTTTCCCTTTTTGGTAGTGCATTTCGGAGCCATTAACTTTATATTCAAACACCGTCTTGCGAAATAAGCGTATTTCTTGCTTAACGGCTCCGCCCGAAGCTCAGTCACGAACCGAATATAACCAGTTAATCGAGAAGTCCACAGAAAAGCATAATTCCATTTCCCAAGCATAAATCTCACCCTATTTCTCCATTAGGGTATTCCATGTTCAAATGACCTTTTTTACAAACGCTTATCAGACACCTATTTCTATTATGTTATTCTTCTAACTATTATTGTCTCGGCCGGTCGTTACTAATTTCTTGGATTTTTTTTCGTTCCTTTTTTATTCTGAGACATCATAAAATCCAGCAACGGACTGGCTGGAAAAGCTTTAGGACATCACACGACGTTTATGACTCAGAAACGATCGTTTCTGAGTCATTGGCGACTGTGCGTGGATTCTAAAACATTTTATCGGCGACCGCATTTCATCACCTCTGCTGCACTGGTGGCCATAAAACCGAATTATTCTCAATTGGTGTGCCATGTACTTCGACTACATTAACTGATACAAATATTGTGACTTCTATAACGTACACACAGACTTGTCCGATTGAAAAATACATTATATTCAATCGTTATCGCAATTCGAACTATAGATACCATAGCTATCAATAGTCGACAAATTCAATATGTATTGATTCGCACCAGCTCTACAACAGTCTTAATAAACACTACTGAGAGGTTACCTAGAAAGCCTTAATTTCATTGACAGTACTAGCAGATCGGATAGCTAATATGGGACAAGAGCGTTTGTGGTATTTTTCGAATGACAAATAAAAGAGAGCGCTCGTATGGTGTCGAGCGTCCTTTGTAGATAACGACATCACATGCCACAGATCTTGTAATCGCTCCAATAAGAACCTCGTTAAGTGCACTATTAATAGAGAATACACAGTAAAATAGAACCCTCCGAAGGAAATAACCCGGTATTACACGTGTCAATCATCAAAGGATTTTCCAATTTAAACGATATTCGATTCAGAGTGTGCGGGTAAGTAGTCTCCCCTCGTGCAGTGCATGTACAATTATGTTGACATTATACGATCCTCGTGGAATTCCGGTTAAGTGAGAATGTGTATTGGCAAATAATATTTTTCGGCCACGATACCGTTGCAAACTTGGCTCGTTTAATGTTTACTGACGTTCACTTAGAAGCACGGGCCGGGTAAGTTAATCTCAACCGTGCAGGGCTAAAAGTTACGAGTACTCGGTATAAAGGTCGTTGGCTCGTTAAATCGAAAATAACTTTTAGCAACGTTTATAGGAAAAGGAAAATTGAATTATAATTGTACGATTTATCGCCGCCTAGAGAGCATAAAGTCAGAAATCACTTATCCCTACCAGCCCGGACGCAGCGCTGCCGTTATCAATATGTTACCCGAGAAAGTTCTGACGTCACCTTTGCGGTATCGATAAGAGAGCATCCTTTAATTATCATAACTCATCTACCATTACTCTCACTTTAACTTGGCAAACGACGGAAATGTTGCCCACTTCTCGAACATCGAATCACATTAAAGTAGTTCATTTTTTTTCTTACTTTTTACCTGTAAAGAGTGCAAAATGGCAGATTCGATCAGCAAAATCGCTCAATAAGAATAAATTAGAGAGATAAAATAAAAGTAGGTTTTACAAAAATTCAGTAGAGGTTATAACTTATATTATAGAAAAAAAATATGAAAGTGTTAAAATATGTACAAAATAATATATAGATATTCGAACGACATTTAAGTGGCATTTTCTAGAAACCGAAAACTGAAGAAACCGCTTCGTAATTTATTGTTTAGAACTTAATTGAGATGAAAACGAACCAATTTTATAAATACAAATACCAAAAACGAAAATATATCAAAAAGGTTTAAAAATCCCAAAGGATGTTTTTAATCTATAATGACAATTCGTTTATTTAAAAGGTTAAACAACGTTCAATTAAATTTAAAATGTTTAGAACATTAATGTTATCTAAAATTCCCAGCAAAATTCTCGGTAAATAATGCAACCCTATTATCTATATTATTCAACTAACTAGTTGGTTTACATTAATAATAACATGCTCTCTACTTATTACATTAGTTAATCATTTAATAATTGCCAATATGGAAATAAAACGGTGTTTATTATTGTATAAAATAATCGGGGCTTATCAAAAAGGAACTCATATGAATCATTTCCAAAGTGATTTTAATTTTCTGTTTTTTCATACCTGTACAATGTCAACTATATCAGATCATCTTCATAAAGAAGAATAATAGACAATAAAGGATAAAAATTAATAACCAATCAAAATTAGAAAACCGCTATTAAAAAGCTTTAGTGAGAATTAAAAGTCGGTGGTCATAGCGGTTTTTAAAATAGAAAAATATTTGTTTTCAATATAATGTATTTTCCATACAGACAGCCGTTTTTGAAAAATTATGCTTTTTTTTCTTCATGCAAAATTAAGCATTTTATTTATATTTTATGTGCTAGATTTTCAATAATCTGACGAAGTTAAAAGCTTTCAACAAAATATACTCAATGATATACTATATCAGTTTTCTAATAATATGAAAATAGATATTTCAATAAATATGTATATTTATCTATGTACAAAGGTGGTTATCAGTAACCTAACCTAACCAGTTACACAAAAACGTTCTATTTTCGAGACATTTTTTTATACGAAAATATATAAATAAATTAAACTGTAGAATAATAAATAATTGATTAAACAACTTGACTTCGATTTCACGATTCTCATAACATACTAAATTGGAAACTCTCAATATTTCCGTCGTAGGCAATCGGGTTTTTATGAATTTTTTATAACACTATCAAAAAAAACAATATTTTACATTCTCCGTTGGGCTCTAACTTGTTCAAATTGTGATCTCTTTGGCTATCATAACCCTTAAATATCTACACTTAGTTTTTCATACATAGGCCATAGGGTGACCATTGTTTTTTCAAGAAAATGAGTATCTTACGTACTTATTTTCTTGAAAAATAATTACATTATTATAATTGTTTTTCTTTTTAAATATTTTTATTCGTGTTATTAAACTTCATTAACTTTAAAAGTAATCACCTAAAACTAATTATCGACCAGTCTAACTTTTCAGCAAATTATTCTTAATTTAAAAAGTTATTAAGTATGTACGTTACCATTTAAGTTTTTAAAGTTAATAGCGCTCTGGGAAATACTAAAAAGACGACAATTTGAAAATTGTTTAATAGTATACAATAACGTAAATGAAAATGTTTTCAAAAAGCAAAACTATAAATAAAAAAAAACCTAGTTATTTTCTCCGCACCACGGAAAAACATTGAATCATGGATATGTTTTAGCATTACGGGTCCGTATACCATAACGATATTTAGTATCAAAGGTGGATAGTATATTAAGCCATATCAAGTTTCTGGCTAATATTTTAGTGTTGTTAATATCTGGCTTAAAACAATTCATAAAAATATGACCTCTTAAATTATTGAATTCATTTTAGTTCAGTTCTAGTTTACACGTTGTGAATACAAGATAAATCGTAACACACGTATTTCAGAACGACCCCAGCTCAAAAACATATCAATGTTAAAGTAATACTAATAACTATAATATAAAAATGTAATTATTTTCCAAGCAAATCAATGTCTTACATTAAATGGATCACCGGTACGTAAATATAAATGTTTTACTGAATTCGGCGTTCAACAATATCAATCAACACCGTGAGTACAATAATAGCATAACACGTAATATTGAATAATGATGCTTGCTACGTGTGTATAAACAAAATGTCAATACCTGATGGGATCTTTGTATTACCAAACGTTGTTTTTGACAACTATTAAGTGTTAATTCGGGGAAATTTACCTTTTCTCGGTACAACATTGAAAAGGGGTCAATTTGGGGGTGCACTTGGCACTTCTGTCCATTTAAGATGATGTTAATTCTCAATCGGCAAACATGATTACATGACAGAGAAAATGTTGATTTTACCTTGTGCCGGAGCGTAGATGTTCAAGTACAGACAGTCCTCGCTCTGGTTCTGCAGGTATGGCAACAGGCGGCGCAGATACTGAACGCGACCGCGGGCCATTGTCTTAAGCGCGGCCGTCTCGTCGGACACGTTGGGCAACCGCTGCGGGCACACCGGGCCAAACCGGTCGGCCACCTTGACGCCGGACCACAGCGAACCGGTGACGGGCGGCATGAACCGCAACGAGCCGACCGGCGGCGAGGCGTACGGCACGCCCCGGAACACCTCGACCGCGTCCAGCCTCCGGTTGTCGGGAGTGACGATCACTCCACTCACGTCACCGTACTTGGTGCGCACCACCCGGCTGGACGTCAACGCCGCGCTTACTCCGCCGAACACGAACGCCACCAGCAGCCACCACGGCGGCACCATGACTCCACCGCCGCCTGCCGTTTGACGAGCGCGTCCACTACAGACGCACGCCCGTGGCGCAGGGACCACTTCTACGCGGCCACCGGTCCGGCCATTTTGGCGTGGCCACCCGTTTCTACGTGCTACGGCCACGACGTCGCGCCTGTAAAAAAAAAAAACATAAGAAATCTTTAGTCGTTGTTCGTTTGTGTTAAGATGGCACAGGTATTATTATGACTCGAAGTGATAAAATCACTTTCAAATTAACGCTTTGAAGCCGATACAAATATCGATAAAAGTAATACAAACACAGCAATGTAATTTGAAATTGTCTTTTTAGTATTAGGTTGGGTTCGATTAGTAATGACGTCCGTCTTGATCAACAATATAACGATAATATTTTGCAGCTAATACCTGTTGACGGTTGACTCGACCTCACATAGCAACCTAGAAATTCACTACGGTCAAAGTGTAAAAACAAAAGTTTAACTACTGATTTTTGAAAAAAAAATTGCGTAACTAGTAGAAGGTAGCGGAACTTAACGATCGACCCATTCCTCGTGAATTGAATTAATCATAGTATGGAGAAAATTGTGCAGATTACACTATTGTGACTTTCCAATTGATCAGTAGAATAATTTTATAACTATATGTTTAATGTATTTGAAAGTTGAAACGATTTGTACAGTTTGATAAAAACGGAAATTATCATCGAAGCTAAATAACCATTTAAAATTGAACACATGCAAAACAACCCAAGCCGGTAGTATTAATTAAGAAAATTAGCGGGAAAAGGAGGTTAATGTAAGCATCCAGACTTTTATGACTTGACATGGGTATAATTCAATCCGTAATAAATAACACGAAGCTTAATACATGGTAATGAATAAAATTATTTTGCGACAAGGCCTGATAAATTGATATCAAAGTAGCATAGATTAGGCATTTCTGTAGAAACTAAGATAGTAAATATCTCTTTTTCACGAGGAAAATGTGTTTCTCAATAATATGGAAGATTACATGTTATCTAAACAAGAACGCTGTCATTAAGGGAAATGAAAGCGGTCGGTTTTTTGACGCTTCAAACCAAAAATTTTGATTTCAATACTATAGACACACGTGTTCTTTGGCTACTTTACTACTTTACGTTGTTTAGTTTTTGCTTTTTGTACAAAAAATTGTGTTTCAATATTAAATCATTTTCAAATTTAATTTATTATATTACTAGAAAATTAATTATTTTAATGCAAATCGGTTTCCAACTTAACCTAGTAAAGATATCAACAAATTTAGTCAAAGTCTTGCCATTTAGTCACAGTGAAAGCATTTTCTATCAATAAAATAAAATTAATCTGTAAGAGCATCAATTCCTTTTAAAATATTGACCGGAGTATTAGCTACTTGAGTTTGCCGGGACGTCACGTGCCTGGACAGGGGATAGAAACGAGCTGCGGGAAAGAACAATGGCCTGCGCAAAGCACTCAGACATATAAAAGCGACTTAAATAAAAACAAATATTAAAAGTTATTAACTCAAATAAACTTAACCAGGAGGCCCTGGTCTAGGAGATGAAGACCGAAGGGGTGGACAAGGTGGATGTTATGATGCAAAGGTGTTTGAGGTAACGTGAGATACTGCACCGACAATTATGTGCGCTATTAAAAATACAATAACATTAAAAAATATGAAGCGATCTTGGCGAGTCGGATTAAAAACAAAAATACTACAAAAAAATCAAATCGCAACTCAACAAAATCAACCACGAGAAATAAACGCACAAACCGTTGCTGTGAAATTTCTTTATGTCTTTCGTTATTCAACAAGAGTAGCAATGATAATACTAGTTCTGAGACAGTTTTTTTTTCACACACTATGTTTAAAATACAACTTAGGATTTAATTTTAAAATAAATTTACTTTTTTTTTTTCTTTTTATTATTCGATTAACCATGCGTTCAACGGGAGATAGTTCTTCGAACAAAGAATTACACTTTACGACAAGTATGTACTTACACCGCGCAACCTCCACAGAATATTTCCTTGTATTCATCCGTACCCCTTAAGCCGCTGTAAGAAAACGTAACGTTGGTTTAAATTTGTCATAAGACTAAATACCGGGTTGCACGACGATTGAAATGGACGCGGGTCGTTAAATCTCAAGTTCTGATGGAATAGATAAAATATGCCACTTTTACTAATTTTATACTATTACCGACTAGTGGCGTTCGCGAGGCTCAGAAAAAGCGGTATCAAGCGCTAGACAAAAACGAGCAAAGAAATGTAGAAAGAGAGAGAGAGAGAGAGAGAGAGAGTGAGAATATCATTTTTAGACTTTGATAAATAATTATGGAACCCGTTAGACTAGAATTATTGTCCGGGCTATTGTCTTGGGCTTTGGGCGAAAACGTAGGAAAACTGTCGATATTGATTGTTTTCAGACTAGCGCAACCCCAATTCGAATAAGACCGTGATTTGCATTAACTCACGTTTCGCATAAAGCGCGTCTGTATTTACTTTTTCGACACTTGCACGGTCTGAACTAAGTACATTAAACGATAAACTATTATTTGCATTGTGCGGCCATGTTGTGTGAAGGTTCAAGATGCGGGCCTAAGACCATTTCAATCACACACTCGTTTGCTCATCACGTTCTCTCGTTTATTGCTTCCGCCTTCCATTAAACGCATCCTCAACGCACGTTATCTATTTTTTCTACATATTTCAATTTTCTTAAAAACGTTTACAGTTCACGTGTGTATCTATAAAAATATTATTACAACGATGTTTATTTATTTAAAAACATTTTTTATTTTTTTTTTTTAATATTTCAAGCCGTTTGGAAAAAAAATATGTTATCTTACATTTTTGAAAATTATATTAAAATTTATCTTATTACGATTTTGTAATCTTATAAAAGATACTACAACCTAAGTAATTCTTAAAAAAAAAAACAATGTTGAGTACATTTTTTTTATCCATAATGGGTTTTGCATAAATATTCAAAAACATATTTGTTTTCGTTCCCTGAGGGATAGCACCATTCCAAGAAAATTATTTATTATGACTGATGTCTAATTCTTAGAATGCAAGATAACCGATTTCCATGCAATAAGTTTATAAAGTTTTAAAAAAGAAATAATAATATTTTCCCTAGCTTTTAAATCGGTTTATTGTAATTTGTGTCGTAAATGCATACTTCGATGCTTAACAATTATTTAAACAGTACCGATATATTCTTAGACGCAACGACAATAAGTTATTTAGATATTTATTTATTAAACTTTATTATTGTACTACACTTAACCATGATAATACAAACATTGTAAAGTAAAATAAGCTAATGAATTGTAAAGAGATGAAAATACATTTTTATAGCGAGAAGCTTTAAACTTTAAAAAGCCGACTATCAATACTATCCAAAATCACTTGTGCTATAGACATTAAGAAGGATTAAAATCCAAAAAAGAGTGGATCGTTAAGTTTTTGAGTTACTTCTGTGTAGCACTTACGTTAAAAGTACTCCATCAAAAGGCTTTTAAATTACGTATAAATACATCTTTACGTTTATCTCTGGAAAAATCCTCCGGCAACCAGAAAAATCTTAGAAATAATACCATCAATTATATAACTCCTCTACGACATCACAGACTTAATAGTGTGTGTCAAGAGATCCGATGAAAATATAAATCGAATGTGTTATGTTTTCGTTTGTTGTTCGATAAAGTTTAGCTAATAAAAGAGAGAAAGTTGTGGGGGAAGTCTTTCGGTCTCGGTTTTGCCGGGAGGAGGTAGTTCATAGTAAAAACATGTATTATGTTAAAAAAAAAAAAATATTATGAAATTTCTATTTTGAAAAATACGCTCAATTTATTTCCATATTTACGACGGGTTTGTTTTACGGAATAAGCTTTTTACATGACACAGCCTACGCTCTCCACACTTGAAATTATATCGTGATGTAAGGTCGGTAGTTTTGTGTGTAGAACTATCGAAACGCAATCTTTGTGCAGCTTAGAAGTGTATGCCGACCGTCCAATGTCCGAATGAGTTGTGCGGGCAATCCGGCGAAAACGTTAAACGAGCGAAAATTCTACGAGCCGGCCATTAACTAGAGCACATAGGGGATCTCCATTTTTCTAGCGGAAAAAAATAGTACAGAGGACAAATAAAATGTGGACAAACATCTATTGAAGAAAAAAAGATGGCACCTCGTGGAGAAACAACATAAAAATATTATAAAAACTTTTCAAAACGGTTTTCCTTGGTTGTTTTATTTATTTTTTGGTAAAATCCCTCGAATGGGTAAATTAAGATTATTGCCGTTATAAACAAAATTTATTTTCATTCCGTCATATTGTACACAAATTGTTATACAAGACATTTATAATATCCATAACTTAAAATCTAAAACGTTAAATATATAAACTCCATACCGCTAAATCGTTCACGAAACACATAATTTATTTAAAAATATATATAAAAAAAACAATTGAATACATTTCTTACGAATATTGACAATTAAAAATTATTATTTGGACTATATTGGTGTCGGGGAGTTTACAGGTTTTCAGTAATCACTTTCAAAAAAACTTTTCGATGCGTATCTGTATATTGTATTAGAAATACAAATATTTAAATAGAATTATGATGATAATAAAGTGCTTGACATTGTATTTTTAGTAAAGGGTGTTTACGATTAGGGATGATGGTCTGTCTATAATAACTTGTTGCCTTTGCTTCCCATATATCGTAACTAACAACATAATGAAACTGTTTTGTGAATACCTGTTGACTATTGATTCACTCTTACGTCATAGTGACCTCAAAATTTACTAAAGTGTAATTTTCTCCTTTTTTTCGATTTTTTTAGTAAAAATAAATTTTGACTAAGTATTTTTAAGAAAGATGTTATTTTATATGTTTTATTAGTCCCACTCTAAATCTAATTTAAGTTTAATTTTTAGACCTCAAGCCATAAAATTACACCTAAAAATAGGAAAACCGAGAGTTTTCATTCATTCT